GATTCATATACAAACCAGAAGCAATACCAAGCAGAAAATGACAACCATCCGATTCAATAATAAAGCAAAATGGCCGTCAAAGCAGCTCAATCATGCATATGTATTATGTCAAAAAAAAACTTTCCAATCAAAGTCGTCAAATTAGATATAAAAAGTAAGAGAGAGCAAAAATAAACAAAGATCGATCATACAAATTGGATGCGCAATTACCGCAAATAAATTCACCCAACGAACACGACTCATAATCATTAACTTTATAACCAAAAACAAACCCACAAACAGCTTGCAGCAATGAATGCAATCAAACAACAAATAAACAACAATTCAATCCAATAGCAACAGAAATGTTTATGAAAAGAAAATAGAAACAGATAAAGCAATACTCACAAATAGAATCAAAACCAGCACCTCAACAGAATCCCATGAAGAAGAAACGCCTAATGATTGCGCTCTGCGGGTATAACAGAGAGATGAAGAGAGAGCGAGAGAGCTATGGCAACATGTCTATATTTAGGAGAGAAATAGAAGAAAAACGGGGCGTTTTACAGATGGTGTGATGAGATATATAAAGAGTAAGATGGAGAAGGAGACGAAGGATCGAAAATTGGGGGAAATTGAGGAATCGGATTGAAGAAAAGATGATCGGAAAGGAAGAAAATAGAGGCGATGATATGAGCGGGACTTGTCGCCCACCGGGGGCGCCCTGCAGAGAAAGAGCGCGACCTCTCTCCCACCGGCGACGCCTGCAACTGCAACTGCAACTGCTGATTTCGCATTTTTTCTGTTTCGAAAAGCTTCTTTTATTAATTACACATTCTATTCTGTCTCCGCTGGAGAATTCAACGTGGCATCACCGTCTTCCAGCCCCCAAATTACGCTTCTGCCCTTCCAGCTATTACTGAAAAAATAATAATAATAATAATAATCCCAAACATAATTTATTTTATTCACTAAAAATTTATATTTAAATGAATAATTCACACCTCTTAATATATTTATACTTCCAAAAATTGACCCCAAAATAAAAATAATAGTATTTAAAAATTTTATTATTGATTTTAAAAAAATAATAATAAGGAAAAATGTTGTTTTAGGGGATTTTATTTTATTTTATTTTTTACTATAAAGTTTTGTTATCGTAAATTTGAAGGGTTGATTGGAGACGGGGGAATGTCGTTTCTATGCAGACAGGCTGTCAAGCTCATGAAGTTTACGCCCTTCCTTCCTTACAACCTTGGTCAACAAGTTCAATTTCTCAATTTAATTTTAATGTGATTTTTTAAACTTTATCTTAAAAATTAACAAATTTCTTAATTATTAATAAATAATGTCACGTTTAAGATATTATTTTCTTATCTTAAGATCAAATATTTGACTAATAAAATAGTTACATTATAATAGTAAACAAATGCTTCAATTTCAAACTTAAAACGTTATGATTATATATACCGGATTCAAAAGTGTTTTGGTGAGAGGAATCTTAAAATAAGGCCAAAACTGTTAAAACCACCGTCGTTTTTTTAATCAAGGGTGGTCGGTTAAGAGTCGTCTTCCCTCTGTCCAGTTCACTTGAATCGACCACCCTTTTACCATTATTCTTCATGGAAATTTTTCGTTTAATATGTATTTTTAAATAAAAATATAATATATTTAATCACGAAAACAAACCTAATTTATTTATTTATTTATTTTCTTTGTAAATGAAATTAATGAGGTATCTAAAAAGAAGGTAAAATGCACACATCCCCCAACAATTTCCAATTATATGGTTATTATTTTCAAATGTATTTATTAATTTAAAAACCATATATTATATATTTGCATTTTATAGGTCCTTTGATTTATTCATACTCTAGCATTTATGGAGTAATGTGAGTGTAATTTTATTAATTTCCACGTGTCAATTCATTTACTTTTTTTGTACTTTAAGTTTATAATTATTTGTTTATTTCATCCATTTGGCCAAACGTCTTGGTCTATGATCTAAGATATTCAAATGGCATTTAAATATAACATTGACAATTCTCTTCCACCATTATTATTATTATTATTATTATTATTATTATTATTATTATTATTTTGTGTGTTCTTTAGTCTTGAGATAACGTAATGTGGTGTATGATTATATTTTTTAAAATTATTTTTAGCACGCCAACTCTTTCAAATATCGAGAAGTTCGTTGTCAACCTATTACAAATGATTTTAGACGTAAGATGAACTAAAAAAAAAAGAAACACAATAAAAAAAAGTTAAAACGACATCAAAATGGGCTCAATACAATCAAACCGAAGACGTAAAAGAGTACGTACCTAAAATCTTAATTTAAGACCTAATTGGGTCAGGGTGAGCTCTTTCCTCATGCCGGTCTCAACTTGTGCCTTCTCCAATTATAAATTCAACACAAGTCCATGCCGGTTTTTGATGGTGTAATAGTCCAAGTCCATTGCTAGCAGATATTGTTTGCTTTAACTCGTTCGTACTGTTATCAGTCTCATGGTTTTAAAACGCGTATGATAGAGAGAGGTTTTCACACCCTTATAAGAAATGTTTTGTTTTTCTCTCTAACTGATGTGAGATTTTACAAGTTACTCCCTTGGGAGCCAGCGAAGAGGGTCTAGCCCTACTTCAACAAGTGTTTCGTATCGTCTAGTGACTAGCTCTGTACCATTATTAACAACCCAAGTCAACCGCTAACAGATATTGTCCGTTTTGGCTCCTTACATATCGTCATCAATCTTACGATTTAAAAACATGTCTATTAGAGAGAATGTTTCGTTTCTCTCTCCAACCGACGTGGGTCTCATTTTATTTGTTGTCAACTAAATCATGGTTATTTGGGAGAGTTTAAAGTAGGGAAAGCATTCTTAAAAGTTTAAAACTTTATGACGAGGTCAAACTCGTAATTTACTCTAAAATTTATGGAAGGACACTGCTTTTACATGAGGCAATATACATCACCATGTCGTTCACGCTTCTATGATCACTGTCGAGTGCGTGGGCAACACGAGTACAGTTAAAAAAAAAAAAAAAAAAAAAAAAAAAAAAAAAAAAAAAAAAA